CTGATTGGCTGAATTACTACTAAAACAGGGGAGTAATGACGAAGAAAGTAATAGCCGACGTTTTGCCGAGATTCATTTAGACGGCGCACAGTGGGTCGTGGGACGATTCTAGCAGGACTACATAAAGTATGGAATTATACATTGTCAATTAAAAGTATGCCATAATAAATAGGTTCAGATATATTATACAATCTATTTATGCATATGTAATAAAGAAATTAAGATATGGCCATGGGATTTAATTATCCTTAAGCATTTTTAAATTAAAGCAATTAAAATAATTCCAGAACTAGTGACATACAACAAAGGCGATGATGAGAAAATTATATTGATCTGCTATATTTACTATTATGAATTTATGTTGGTGCTTTGCAAATAGTTTTTTTTTTTTTACGGAAAATATGATTTATAGAGTAACAAATAAAATCCTTTGAGATTTCACATTTTTTTGAGGAAAAAAGTGAAATTATGTTCAGAGGAAAACATTCTAAATCGATGAAGAGGTTATCCATAATTTACGTAACACACGTATGGGGGTATGCAGTTATTATTATTCTCTTTCCTTGATTTAGAATGTTTTCCTTTCAAGATTTCATTTTGAGGGGATGTAGATATTAATCTACATGGCGGGGAAATAAATAAATATATATATATATAGGATCAGCTAATTTATATAATACCCATTTTAAATGTTTAAATTGTTTTGAATTAGTCCATTTTATTGTGTTTGTACGTGGTATACTCGAACCAGATTTTATAATTAATTTTTGCTGGCGTATTGCTAAGCCAATCTCCAAATTATCGAAACTAAAATCTACTGTAATTTAAATGATAATTGTTATATAAACCGTGACGATGGTCGGTCGAACTGATCGATATCGAATCAATGCGACTGCAAAGTAGACTAAGAGCAGGCAAGGAATACAAGGGCAGTTTGAAAGCTCACGCAACGTATTTTATACGCTACTTACGTAACTTTCTATTGTAAAACCGTTATCAACAATTAAAAATTCAAGCTGGATACGAGCAAACAAAAACTTATGCCAGATCTAACTTATTTTGAAACGAATGTAACTAAGATGACGAGCGATCAGAATCAGAAATCGTCGGAAGACGAGATAATACCTTCGAGAGTGGAAACACCAGAGCCGATACCCGATGATTGTACCTGCCTCGAATGCCTTCTACGACCTATACAAAGCATGGTTCGGATTTTCGGGGTGGATTTCCATTTTGGAGAAGAAGGCCACGAGAAACCGGAGAGAGAGAAAAAAATGCATAAATGGAGGAAGGTATACGGCATCATTATTTTGCTTTTCATGTGGATGGCCGCTGGTAGACAGGCCGGATCCTTTTTTATGATGAATTGGAAGAGTAAATTGTATTTTGGTGACATCAGCCAGATTTTGCCCAAAGACGGTAGCTCTTGGTTATATGTCTATCTGACTTCACACTGGATCGCTTGCTTGTCTTTGACCACCTTCTTCTTCACCGACAAAACTTACTACTTGACAAATTTGATGTATTTGTTGGAAGAAATGCGTTCCGATACGGCTCGTCACAGAAGAATCGAGAAAACGATACTGGGATGGCAAAAATCTTTAATGTTTGGCACGAGCCTCTGCTTTGTCGGATTCACCATCTATGCCGTAATTCTCTTTTCTTATTGGCGATTTAAGCACATGAGCCCCAGTGATGACAAGCTTCTGGTCGCTTTCCAAATATTTTGGGCCTGTTTAGAGAAAATATATCTGTACGGAATGGGATTATACGGGCCCGTTTTTTTGGTATTGAATAATCTGATCGTAATCAAATCCTATCAAGAATACGCCGAACAATTATCAGAAGAAGTCAATGGAGACATTCAGCAAACTAATTTTCAAGCCTTGCAAATTAAATACCACAGACTTTGCCAAATGATTGGATACAACGATCAGTTAATGAGAGGAGTCTCGAATTTCACTTTCCCTGGTCTCATTTTCATGCAGGCATTGCTCTTCTACTTAGCACTCTTCAGTCTCACTCTACCCGCATCTAAAATTATGATAAAGATTCTGACCTTTCTAACAATATTGATTTTCGCTGTTGCTTGTTGTTATCCCGCGGCTTTGACATCTGCTGTAAGTTATAACTTAAACAATTAATTACAGACAGTAAATTTTATACCTATTTTGATTGAATATCTTATACTTTCAGGCTACCAGACCTTATGACGTTTTGTACGAGGCGACTTTCATGCCTATCAAAGTGGAAAATCAATTCCGAGTAAATGATTCTAAAAGCTTTTTAATTTTCTATATATATAGATATTATATATAATTATATAATTATCTCTTAATTTATATATTTTTTTAAGATTCACGATCTGATGAAACAAATTGGAGGTTCGCCCATCGGCTTGACATGGTTGAATGTATTTGTCATGAATAAGGGAGCCATTATAAAGGTTTTTATTTGTTACTATATTATTGTTTCGCTCTAAGAAACTAAATTATATAAAAGTAAAAAAGAAAAGGAACCAAAGAATCTTTAGTTTGAGTAAATAACAAGATCCTAACGAGTGCCAAGTCGAAATCTATGCTGATTGTTTTATATTTTGATCTGCATTATGTTACAGATATACTTGTTATAGCAAGTGTACAGATATACCTGTATACATCCTATCGTGATGCACCTCTGAAGAAGTGGCAGGGCAACAAAATTTATCGTATTCAAATAATAACTTAGAATAATGCATCTCTCGCATCATTTAATATTATTTTCGATGAGTTACTTAGTGGTGGAAAAGTCGGGGATCTAGTAGATCCCCGACTTCTCCACCACTAAGTAACTCATCGAAGACCCGATCGAGGAAACGTAAAGACCCTTTAGCAGGAGAAGAGAGATTTTGCTGAATGAACCACACACTTACAACCTTTGGATGTGTTGTTTTGAATTTGGAAAAACTTGGTCAGAAAATTTTTTGATAACCTTGACATTCAACAACATCGCGGATGTAGAATTTTGAAAATTCAATCTCTTGTCCACCATTAATTTTCTTTACTTACATTTTGTAATTTTATTACACATACCCTTCTCAAAAGCGGAATTTCACGGGATTGGTCATCTTCTTTTCAACACTATCGATTTTTACTCGAAGATTGGAATCTAGTACTGCAATAA